CCACCCCAGCCCGAGGCAGTGACCGACGACGACAGTCTGGACGGTGCGAACGATTCGCTGGACGAGGGCTCGCCTGGAGCGACGGAGCGCCAGGCGACGGCTAGCTCGACCTCAGCAGAGACGGGTCGGCCGACGGAGGATGGGCCAGAGCATGCGCTGATGACGGCTCAGGAGGCTCAGGTGGAGGACCTTCCCGAGGTGAAGGCGGTGACGCTGACCAAGAAGCAGCGCCGGTCCCTGATGGCGGCGGCGGCGCAGGCTCGATTGCACAACCGCGCGGACGTGGCAGTGCTGGAGCTGTTCTCCCCACTGCGGCTGGCCCAGGCCGCCGCGATGGCGGGCATGTCGAGTCTGGGGGCCTTCGATCTCAAGACGGGCTGGGACCTCGACGACCCGGTGGTGCGGATGGAGGTGGAGAGCATCGTGGAGCATGAGAAGCCCTGGCTGGTGCTGATGAGCCCTCCGTGCCGGATGCTGTCGATTCTCCAGAACCTCACGGCATGTCCAAGGGACCCGGTGAAGTGGATCCGCGACTACAAACGGGCGATCGGCTACGTGGAGTGGTGCATGCGGGTGGCGGACATGCAGACCCGCGGCGGCCGGCTGTTCTTGTTCGAAGCACCGGCGAGGGCCAAATCCTGGCAGGTCAAGGCTTTGGTGGAGTTCGTGGACCGCTACCGGGAGCAGTTTTACCTGGTGACGAGCGCCGCGTGCGAGGCTGGCCTGAAGGAGCCGGGGACCGACCTCTACTTTGGCAAGCAGTGGCAGTTCCTCACCAACGACGTTACGCTGGCCGAGGCCGTGGAGGCCAAGTGTCAAGGCGGCCACCAGCACGCAGTGACGCTAGGCACCATGCACGGAGGCATGAAGAGGAGCGGCTACACGGAGACGTACCCGGAGGACTTGCTGGTGCGAGTGGTCGAGGGTGCGCTGGCAGCCCTCGACACGAGGGATGCGGTGAGCTTCATGGCGGAGGCGTTGGCGACTGAGGGGGACCTGCCGAAGCTGACGGAGGACAACATCAGGACCGCCCTGATGCGGCTCCACAAGAACCTGGGGCATCCTGGCGCGGATACTCTGGTGCGGGTGCTGAAGAATGGCGGCGCATGCGAGCAGGCGCTGAAGATCGCACGCCGGCTCACCTGCGACGTGTGCGACATGAATGTCCAGCCCAAGGTGCTGCAGCCGGCGGCGCCGGCGAAGGACGTCCCACCGCTGCACACGATCAGCCTGGACGTCAAGCACTTCCCGGGGTGGATCGGCGGCCCAGTCACCGTCAAGGCGCTCAACGTGGTGGACACGGGGTCGGAGCTGCAGCAGGTGGAGCCCTTCTTCGAGCAGGAGACCTCGGCGGTGTTGCGGAGGCTCTACCACCACACGTGGGTGCAGCATTACCATGCGCCGGCTCGGGTGAAGGTGGACAGTGGCACGACGAACCTCGGCTCTGACATGATGGAGGGCTTCGAGAAGGATGGCACCGCCGTCGTTGACAGGGCGGCTGGAGACGCGCACGAGCAGAACGCCGAGGCGGAGGTGCATGGCCAGTGGTTCGAGCGCATCCTCAAGAAGGTCATCGCCGAGCAGACGATCGACAATCAGGCGGACTGGCTGGAGGCTGTGGCCGCCTGCTGCGAGGCCAAGAACCGACTGACCAGGCGATCCGGCTACTCCCCGCTGCAGTGGGTGTTCGGCCGGGACCCGCCGCTGCCGGAGACGTTGAAGCCGATCGGCAACGACCCGGTGTGCAACTCGGCGGTGATGCACGATGAGGAGTTTGCCCGCCGGGCGGCGGTGCGGCAAGCTGCACGCATGGCGACCGTGGCCTTGAAGGACGACAGGGCTATGAGGGCAGCCCTGGATGCGCGGCCGCGGGTTCGCCAGGTCTTCAAGGCCGGCGACTTTGTGGCCTTCTGGAGGCGCGGCAAGGGCAACTCCAAGAAGGCGGCCAAGGCCAGGTGGCGAGGACTGGCGCGCGTGGTGGGCAAGCTGAGGGACAACTACATCGTGTCCTTCGGCGGCCAGTGGCTCCTGACGGCGCCCTGGCAGCTGCGCCCAGGTACGCGGGAGGAGATCGTGGCGACGGATCTGGAGGAGGACCTTCTCTCTCCGGATGCATTGGCACGGGCATCGGCAAGGAATCAGCAGCCGGGCTACATCGACATCACGGAGGAGGAGGCGCCACCTGGAGCTGAGACTACGTTCGACCCGGTGATCGAGGACCCGCGACCAGCGCCGACGGCACCAGAGCTGGAGGCTCGGGAGGAGAACGCAGACGAACCGCCGGCGCCAGTGGCGCTGGACAATCCAAGAGGGTATGTACGCTCGGAGGTGGAGCGGCTCGAGAATCGAGCCAGGAGCCGATCACCTCCAAGGGCATTGACTGGTGCCCGAGGGTCGGCGGACCCGGTGGCGGAGGCGCTGCAGGACGCCACGCCGGCCGAGGTCGAGGGGCGCCGACGCATCAGGGTGAAGGAGCCGCACCCCGAGATCCCAGAACCAC